AAAATGTTGTTGATCCGTTTGTACGTATTATGCGTAAGGAACAGTATCTGTTCATATTTCAACAAAATTTGCAAGATGTAGTCGAAAAAATTAGAGTTTCTGCTGAAAAAGCAACCAAAACACGCTGCACATGTTCGCAAAGACTGGAACAAAAGCAGAAATTTGCTAATTTGAAATGACCTCCACAATCCGACATGACATGAATCTCATCGAGAATTTGCGAAATCAACTAAAAGCGCATCTTACTAAGTATCCAAGTCCGTCCAATGGAGTACGTGAGCTGTGAAAGCAAACCAAGGATATATGGGAGGCTATACCTCCAGAATTTTTACAGACATGCACATTAGGTATGCCAAATTGCAACCAGAAACTAAATAAAGCAAAACCATACTGAACATTGTGTTAATAATTCTTTTTTTTTGTGAAAATTGTCAAAAAGTTATTAAAAATACATGAGTGCAAAACTGTAACATATGCCTTAATTTACATTTTTGTCTGCTGGTTTCTTTAATGTTGTTGAATTGACTTCAAATCGTTATGACAGAGGAAGCAAAGATGTACCAATAAAAATACAGAACAACAGTATGAATGTCGTTAGAACTTGGAAAGATAGCGACAGCTGAAAGAAAAGGTATTACTCCATGTTACAGTTTTGCTCGTCACTGTATGTATGTGGATATTTTAAGGAAACTTCGCTTCCCATTACATATGTACATACATATATACATATTTACATATTAACCACTTTTTCGCCCAATTTCACTTATTTTAAATCAAACGAAAATACCTGATTAGCACTAAAATGATACGCCATTTTGTATGTAGGTTGGTATGAATGTGTTGCACCGTAAGGGGTGGTTAGAAAAATTAAAACTAATTTATTTTACTTAAACTTTGCTGCTATGTATGTGCGTCTGAATTTTTTTTCCTAATCAAATTTTTTATTGACAAATTTTCGTCATTTGTTTTGCTTTTTTTATTATTGTTTTTTTTTCTCACTTGCTCTAGAGTTGCTAAACAAATTTCTTTACACTAAATGCAGTTTGTTTGCTCACTAATTTCCACTTTAAATTGTATGTATAATAGGGAAAAACAATTGATAGAATACCAGGACAACGTGCAGGAAGTCGCGGTTTCTCAAAAGGTGTGAGCAAATAAATGAGGTTGCCATGACCCTGGCTGCAAATGCATGTTTGCTGGAATGTTTGTGGACGACATTGAACTTTCGGAGTAAGCTTTATGTAGTTAGGATATTCCCTGAAACTCGAAGAAACTTGAAACTACATAGAAAATAGTAAATATTTAAGTTAGCTGAAGCTCTTGATTGATACTCGATTACGGTATTCAAAGACCAAGAAATAGTGAATTTACAATGCTTGTCTATAAATGCGATTTAAGACCAGTCTGCAAAACGTCACATACAATGAATGTCCAAGGTATTGCTGGATCTTGTCCGTAAACTCGAGGAGATGCCTTCTGTAGTGTCCAAGAGCCACATAGCTTTCATTGCGCATTTGTTAATGCCATTTCGATACTGGCATCCAAGTAGAAATCACTTGTTGTCAGTTGCTATATAAATAGTGTTCTTGCGACATTGGAAGTTATTTCTTAGCTGCCTTAAGTTAAGCACTAGATAATTGGGCAGCTTCGTCTAGTGATTTCGAAGACTATTACTCCCAAATACTCCAAGTGCCGCTTCATCGGATTTTGTCATTGTCGCGCACTACAATCCTCCAAATTTATTTATTTATTTATTTATTTATTTATGAGTAGCGAGGAGTCACTTAGCTTGCTCTAGGATACTCACTTTCCTTCCATTCCTCGCCCGAAGGAAATTTCCTTAAGAGAAGTTCGTGGAGACTGCGCTGTTTTTCCGAACTTCTGGATGACTGCCGTCTGACGTGGGCGATCAACTCGTTCAAACCCCAGGACCCGTTGGCATCATACCAGCACAGCTGCAAAAACTTGCGGAGGTGTCGTGCCGTTGGTTGGCCACAATATACGAGAGCTACGTAAGATACGAGTATATTCCCAGGGGTTGGAGTATCGTCAAGGTGGTGTTCATCCCGAAGGCCGGAAGGAGCTCCCATGTTGTCCGCAAGGACTTTAGGCCAATCATTCTCTTATCGTTTCCCCTGAAAACGTTGGAAAGGCTGGTTGACATGGAGGGCAAGGTTGATGGTGGGCTCTTCTGTCGAGAGCTTAACATCACCAGTTCAGGCTCCCGGACTTTTGCAGTGTATTACAGGCGGAAGTGGCTGCTATCAAGGAGGCGGTGGATTCACTGCTCAGGAGTGCTATTAAAGTCAGGGAAGTGAGTGTATATTCTTATAGCCAAACGGCTATAGGCAAGGCCCTTCTGGCCGAGGAAGGACCGGGGGCGGTCGAAGGCACTCCTCACACTCACAAAGCCATAGCTCTCACTTCTGGTGGGGGTTTTAACGGGTCAATGTCCAATCGGTATTTACGCAGTTAGGCTGAACATACTACCGGATACCGTATGTCGCAGTTTCCTGGAAGATGACGAGGTGGAATCACCTCAACACGACCTTCTTAGGTGCCCAGCGTTTGCGAGGCTAAGGTTGAAGTACTTTGGTTCTCACGCCCTAAATAGCCACACATAATCGGGTCGCGGTATTTTATCGATAAAATTTAAGGTGAAGTTCAAAATTGTGGTATCACTAAGGACAATATCAAATTATCTAAGTGAGCTCCGGTTACACGGGGCTGCCACTTTACCTAACCTGCACCACAAGCTAGGATGCAAGATGTGGTTTTTGTACGACGCGAGAGGACTTTATTTTTGAATCGTTTTTCATTAAATTTCGAGGCTCCCAAATAAACAAAGTTCTCTAATTTTTTAAAATTATAACTGCCAGTAGGGACGTGGTGAGAGAAGATACTACTTCGTCTAGTTGTCATTCATCTCCAGATTTATTCGTTTTGCTTTTAAAGACAATCATCCCTGACCGACTCAGTTCTGCGGCCTTTTTATCTTCTCAGTTATAAGACTAATGAATTCGTGGTATATATAGACGCCCTGTTTGAATACTCGCTTGGCATAAAACGGTTCAGTCAGGTGTTTCCCGATTCCGAAGGAGCTGTTGATATTGCTCAACGTAATTTTACACAGCCACATAAAATTGCGGGGATGCCTATAGGCCACTTCTTTTCCTTTGAAATCGTTTGTCGAAAGAATTTATTTCTAAGATGTTGAATATCCCGTTTTTTTTTGGAGATTTACTAGGCCTTATAAGTCCCAATAAGTTCGCTGAAAGTGGGCCTTAGACATTTACACCATCCGCTCGTTGATATCTTGCATTCGCCTCTTAACAGGCTGATTGGCGCATATGGCAGTGTCACGTTTTTTTGTGCAATGCGCACAGAGCGCACTTAAATTCTAATAATGCTTCAAATCACGCGCTCATTGAGATGTGTTTCCAGATACCTGGAAGTTATCTGAAGTATCGAACACTTTGCAAATTCCATGAACCAAAGAGTTCACAAAATGATCTAAGAGACCGAGAACAAAAGGCACGATCGAAACTAATTGTCGTTCTCGTAGTTTTGTTAACAAGAATGCTTAAAAACCAAAACCGAAATGAGAACAAAGTCTTCGGGAATGTTTTCACAAGAACGAAGAAGGGAACAAAACTGTAGAGAACCTTCTCAACGGGAATTATATAAGAACAAAACCTGTGGAACGTTTCGAAAGAGAACAAAATGCGAACAATACTTTCGGGAACATTTCTAAGAGAAAAAAGCAAGGACAACAAAAGTCTAAAGAACTTCTTCTCGAAGAAGCAGTTGGGAACTGACAAAGAACGAACGGGAACAAATCTTCTATGAACTATTTGCGAAGAATGAAAGCGATAACAAAATTTTTCTCACTGGCGTCCATTAGTTTGAAATGTTTGAATATAAAAATTAATCAAAAAAGAACTCAAGGATAATTATGCAAACTAAGTCAACGAAAGACTTAAGACACGAACTTTTATTGCAGAGAAAATTACAAATTGTTCCAAATGGATAGTTCACTCTATTGATAAACGATCTGGTAGTCAAAATTATCCAGCTTTCCTCTGGCCTAGAATTACATAACAATCATGCTTCTCACTGAAACGATTTTCAAGCCAATACACATTCCGAACGTTAAGTTCTCAAAACTTTTGTCCTCATTTTGTTCTCTAGCAGAACGCTGGCGAACGTTCCTATTTGATCCTCCTTGAAAGCATTCGCGTTACTTTCGTTCTCATTTTGTTCTCATTGAAAGTTTTTCCGAAAGTTTCGTTCTCATTCTGTTCTTCTTTCAAACGTTTCCGAGATTTTTGTTCGCGTTTGGTTCTTTACGGAAACGTTCCCGAACCTTTTATTATCATTTTGTTCCCGCTAAAACTGCCCTCAATACTTTTGTTCCCGTTTGGTTCTTTTGTGGGAACGTTCTTGACATTACATTTTGTTCTTATGCAGAACTAAACCAAAACCCGAACGCGTTCCCGATCCCTGGTTAAAAACACGCTATCATGAGTTATCCCTACAAGAAAACAGTCATTTGAAACACACTGTATTTAATGGTATTTGGTTTTGTTTGGTTATGCGCCCATCATTCTTCTGCTACTCCCCAATTGGCTTTTCTCTTTTTCTGCTATTTGCTATGCGAGCTCTGCAAACATTTATTTGTACGTTCATGGGGATGGGACTGCAGCATCCAAGGCGCAGGTGCCCAACGGCGGTAAATGTATGAGAAAAGTGAAAACTTGTGTAGCGACAGCTGAGGCCAGCAACTAAATACATGGTGTTGTTACATAAATAAATAGTAAGGCAATACAAAAAATACTAACAAAGTGAGTAAAGGTTATGTTTATGTAATGTGGAGTAGACGACTTTTATTACGAAGATTTTAAAATATGTAAAATATTAAAGTTATACATACATACATATATTAATTTTACTGTTATTTAGAGTACTCATTTAAAATTAAACAGTATCACATTGCAGCTTAAATTATAGTTAAAGTAAAATTAAAATTAACCTACGCTTAAAATAAAATATATCCCCATCAAATAGTGCTATGCCGCTTATGGCGTCTCCAACACATGATTCAAGTATGCTATATAGCATATAGCCAGCTTGAGTATTTCGATTTTCGATAACTTCTTATCCGGCGGCAAAGTGGGTAGCAGTTTTCGCAATTCAGCAAAGCTCACATTGAACGCTTCCACACGTATACGTTCGCGTGTTGCATGGGCCGTACGATATTTTAGTGTTGCACGTCGCCGACGACGACGCTCTTCACGCGTCAAACCGACCAACTCGGAAGGATCCAAGTGCGCTATTGGTGTTGTACGCCGTCGCGGTGCTGGTGTAGGCGGTGGTGGTGGTGATGCCTGTGGCATTGTCTCACAAGCCATACGCGCCTGAAAGCGTCGATCAATATCCAAGACGTAATCGTGATTCTCTGCCATGCCGTTGAGATCATGCAGATAGTAGCGGCCCAAGGAGATGCTTTGCGCTGGCACCATATGGGTCATGTCGTACACCATTGTGGCTCAAAGGTATTTCTCTAATTTCTGAAACAAAATAAGACAAGGAGACACTCGTATTAATAGTTGAAAAATGTAAGAGCTTTATAAATTAAAAAAAAAATCTAAAATTTTTCATTGCACCAAAGGTAACACGCCCACAAAACTTGTGGTTAAGCAACGCATGCCTTCACGCCCAGCAGCCGCACGGAGCGTATGCCGTGGGTGATGATATTTTGATATATTATTCATGCAATTGTAAACAAGTATTTATATGCATTTGCTTTTGCTTAAGGGGTTACTCCTTTACCCCCTTTCTATGTATGTATTTACCAACTCATATTTGTTTGCCTGCCTGTGGCTTTGTTTGTTGCTTTTTGCTTGAAGGTGTGTCAACATGCCACCCCTTTCGTTTGTCCATGCGCTCGTTTAAGTACTCTCTAACTAACCACATTATATTTGTTATTGTTATTATTTTTGGATATTTTGTTATTATTGGCACATACATATTTTCACACCTAGTCAAATATTCGTAGCTCTAGCGCCAAAAAAAGAGGGTGTGTGGATGAATTGGTTTGCAGCACACGTTTTGCAATTTGCAATAAAAATTTAATATTTATTAAATGGATTTGAGAAATTATTTTCGGGATTCGCTAAAATCAGAATTGGAATATTTCAACTTAAACTTTTCTCCCAATTTGAATGATAAATCGTTAAAAAAATTTGGTTTCGTGGACTACATATTTTATTTACTAATTAACAATCGTTATGTCTTATGTCTTCAGCTATGAGTTAAATAGATTTAACTTAGCAAAGCTGCTAGAGAAGGTGGTATGCTTGTCAAGTACGTCGGCGAGGAGCTCATAAGATGCATGCACAATTCAATTTACTCTGTCCAATCCACAAGAAAGCAACAATGTTACATGTGCTATCTACCGCGGGATCTACTTATCGATATTGCATATGATTTCTTATCAAGCATTTTGTGTGAAAGACTCAAACGTCAACGAACTGATTGGGCCTTACGTGAAAGTGGGGCTTTATACCTATTAAATCCACTATAAATCGTTTATTCAAAATACCACATATCTTGTAAAAGACCCGCACGAGTAGGATCAACCTATATACATCATCTCTCCGTTGATTTTAAAATTTCCGTCGATGTCGTGGAAAGCAGTTGCCCATACGTCGCGATATCTGATTTTGGTATCACTGCCTGAGTAAAATGACGTCGAACAACATCATCATCTTCTTTGAAATGGGTAGCGCTTCACCGAAACATTCGATACCAAACAAGTAAATGAAAATAAAAAAATTGTAAACCTCCGAGTGTATGCGCGCGGCACAAATCGGGGAGAAGCTCGGCCAAACAGTAACATACTAGTGTAAGCGCCAATTTATTATTATTAAAGCGTGTGGGAATATAACAATGACAAGACGAAATATCTTCTGTCGTCAAACCGGTGAGTGCATTCACGCGTCCGCATTCACTTTACTATCGACAGTTATTATTCCAAAAAGTACACTCTAAAAAAAAAATTGTGTAAATTTCCTTGCTAATGCTCGATTATTCAACGAATAGTTTGCTTAAATTTCGGACTTTTTAGAGCGTAATATAGCTGCTGTGGTGTGCGTAAATTTACTACGAGTGTGTGTACAAGCTCCAAAATACACATCTGCTGTTTGATTTTACCCGTAGAATTGTGTAAAGCCGCTAACAAAAA